CAATTTTTCTGTTTTCTGTTTAAGTTATTTCTGCCATAATTTTTATCATTTCTTTCTTTCTTCTCCGCCCCCCAGCCCCCGAGGGTGTCAGGTTTTCTTGCTGTTCTTACTTGTTGGAAATGTTGGATTAAAGAATCAATTACTATCTTTTTCTTCCCTTTTGATGTGTTTGCTTATTGCTATAAATTAACCTCTAATTGATGCTTTATCATTTCTCAGAGGTTTTGGTAAGTTTTGTTTTCATTGTCATTTGTTTCAAGAAACATGTTCATTTTTTATTTCCTCTAATACCCACTCATGTCCAAACAAGGTCTTGTTCAGCTTCTAAATGTTACGGGTTTGTTTTTGGGTTTTTTTTTCTCTCCTTTATCCTCTTGTTATGCAATTGCTAATTTTGTAGCATTTAGACGTTCTAGAATTAATCTTCTTATTCCTTCTCTTTTTCTTTGAATTCACCCTCATTTACATAATGATACCTATGATTTATGAAGTTTTAGTGTTATACTGCCAAGTAAATAAATGTGTCTGGGAGAAAGTGAAACCAACTTTCTTCTTGGAGTCTAGGCGTTTGAAGCTCCGCCTTATATATTTTGGACCTGTGGCTGGGAAGAACTGATCCTTGGAGAAGGACATCATACTTGGAAAGGTGGAGGGATAGCGCAGGAGAGGAACACCTCGTATGAGATGGATTGATACAGTAATGGTAAATGGGGGGTAATGTGTCAGTGTCAGTGAGACTGGCTTTGGATAGTGCAGGCTTCAGCGCTGTTGGACATAGGGACACTATGACACTCAGGCAACTCAACGGCACATAACGTTTTTAATATACTTTATGTATTTCTGGGGGGGTGTCAATGTTTGAATGGTGGTGTCATACATTTTTATTTTTGTTTATTTTCTTTCATAGTTGATTCTTTGGGCAAAGAACTCCATTAGGATTTCTTGAAAAGTTAGTCTAGTTACACAAGTTCACTTGTTACATACCACTGAACCAACCCCCACCTGACCCTACAGTGAATTTTCAGAGGCAGTAAATTGCACAGGAGGTGATTGGCCATCTTTCTCTCTTGGATTTGAACCATGTGTGAGTGGGTTAACATAACTCCTTACCACTAAGGTACTAGAGCTCACAAATTGTTTTAGTTCTTGTGTATCTGTTGTTGTTAGGTGCACTGAGTCACATACAGCTCATAGCCACCCTATAAACAAAGGGTCTGAACCATGCCCTGTTCTGTACCACTTTCATCATCCCTGACATACTTGTGCCCATTGCTCTAATTACTTTGTCAATCCATCTCACTGAAAGTCTCCCTCTCCTTTTTACTGACCCTCTGTCTTTCTAAGCATGGTGTCCCTATCCAATAGCCTTTCAAAAATATACCCAAAATATGTGAGACAAAATTTTGTCATCCTTACCTCCAAGGAACATTTTGGTTTGCACCTTCTCCAAAACATCTGTTTGTTCTTTTGACAGTCCATAGGATGTTCATTCAATACTCTTGTCAAACACTACAACTCAAAGGCATTGATTTCTTCTTCTGTTATCCTTATTCATTGTCCAGCTCTCACTGCGTAACAGGTGTTTGAAAAAAGTATGGTTTCAATCAGGTACACCTAAGTTTGAAACTAATATCATTGCTCTTTAGGATTTTGGAACTTTCTTAGTGGTAGACATCTCATTTTCTGATTACTGGTACCAGGCTATTCATTCTGGATCCAAATAAGATGAAATTGTTGACAGATAAAATCTTTTCTCCGTCTTTCATGATGTTGTCTATTGATCCAATAGTAAGGATTTTGGTTCTCTTGATTTTGAGTTGTTTATCTAGAAATGTCCCAATTTAATTTCCATACTCAATGGATATTTTTGCTGGATATGGGATTTGTGTTTGGCAATTTTATTTTTTTCTTCTGGACTTTTGTATATCTCATACATTGCCTTTTTGCTTGCATGGTTTCTACTGAGAAATCAGAACTTAATCTTAGTTGTTCTCCTTTGTAAGTGACTTTTCATTTTTCCAAACCTGCTTTCATATTTTCTCTTTGTCCTTAATTTTGGAAAATTCCATTTCTTGGTGTTTTTCTTTGCAAACAGAATCTATTCTGTTTGGAGTACTCTCAGCTTCTTGAAGGCCTCATTTTTCATAACAATTAAGAGGTTTTGAAGCCGCAAATCAGTAACATTTTCCACTGTGGTTTTGTTTGTTTGGGGTATTTTGTTTGTTTATCACTTCCTGTTCTGGGATTCTAATTACATGGGAGTTATTCCTCTTCATGTTCTTAATTGTCTTTCCTCCTCTTACGTGATCAGAGCTTTAAAAGTTCCTCTAACAGAATAACATTGAGGTATTTGTCCTCCTTGTCACTAGTTCTGTGTTTCTTCAGTTTCTCCTTTGTGCACTTCCAGAGACTTAACCTGTTTTTGCAACTCTAGTCTTAATATTTTGATTTTTACTTTGCTGTTTTTGTATATTGCTTCTCATTTCCTATTCATCTTACCTATTTGGTCTTGCTGATGGCTTAGTAGTAAATGAGTTGCACTGCAAACCCAAAGGCACATACTTCAAATCCATCAGCTTACTCTGCAAGAGAAAGATGGACAGTCTCCCCCCATGCAATTTACAATATTTGTCTGAAAAACTGCTGGAGGGACAACTGTGAGTCAGTTCCAACTTGATGTTACATAGCAACAGCAGCATTTACTCTTTGTTTCTGTCTCGTTGCTTTTAATATTTTCTCCTTATCTTTGGTTCTAGCAAATTTGACAATGATATGCCTTGGTGTTTTTCGTTTAGGGTCTATTCTGTATGGCGTTCGCTCAGCTTCTTGAATATATATTCTGTCATTCTTCATTATGCCTGGAAAGTTTTCCTCTAGTAATTCTTAAAAAATCTAAATTCCTAAATCAATCTCCATAATAGTCTATGTGTTTCCTACTGCCAAAGGGGCCCTTTAGAGTAGTGAGAGAAGATCTTCACCCTGAAACCCACAGCGTCCCTTTTCAGCAGGAAGTAGCTAAGAGAATACGCCATCCCCTTTTCCTTATGACTCAGGGTGAAGTCTCTCTCAGGGAGGAGTGATAGGGAATGGCAAAGGACACACTGACAAAGAAGATTAATCAGAACTGGCTTTGACAAGCACTGTGGCATTTGGACAAGATCAAACTGGGAGGAGGGTGGAGGGAATAGTGCAGCAATGAGTGAGTGGAAGCCCAAAATCTCTGTAAATGTTTATGAAAATTAATAAAATATAATTATAGAAAAAAAATATGGAATGCTTCACAAATTTGCGTGTCATCCTTGCGCAGGGGCCATGCTAATCTTCATTTGATCCTACATATAATTTGGATTTTTAAAAAATTATCTGTCTTGGGAACTGAAGACCAATAATGTCAGTCTGGAGACTAAGGTGTGCCTGATACAGGTCATGGTCTTTGCAGTCACTTGCTATGTATCAGAGGGCTGGACAGTGACTAGGGGTGATAGAAGGAGAATTGATGCCTTTGAGCTATGGTTTTGGAGAAGAGTGTTGAAGACTGCCAAGAGAACGAACAGATTCTTCCTGGAGTGGGTTAAACCAGGCTGCTTCTTATAGACAAGGATTCTGAGGCTTCATCTGACATGTTGCAAGGAGGCATCTGTCCTTGGAGAAGGGACGTCATGCTTGGGAGAGTGGAGGAACAGTGCAGGAGAGGAAGACCCTTGATGAGATGGATTGATTCAGTGACTGGAGTAATGGGGGTAGGTGTGTCAGAGACAATAAGATTAGCATAGGATAGAACAGGGTTTAGGGCTGTTAAAGGGTCACTGTGAGTCACAGGCAACAATTCAGACAGCACATAACAACAACTATGTGTTCTTAAATCTGACACTAAAGTAAGATTCTTTTGAATCTTTATCAGGAAGTTTCATTAGCTTTCCTTCTCTGAAAGATTTTTCTTATTCTGTATTTTTGTCCCAATTTTGTTCCATGTTCTGTGTTTTTTGGCTGGTTTGAGGTAGTCAGTTGCCTCCTAGACACAGCCTTTGTGGGTTGAGGCAATATCTGTCTGCAAGTGTCTTTTGGGGGTTGGGACATCCAATCACTACCAGAGTTTCTACTCACCTCACAGGATCCTCTACCTGTCTAGGGATTGTGTGTTTGCTAGTCTAGGGGCTGGGTGCTGAAGAGTGCCTGGTGAAATATAGCTAGTGTGAACTGGTAATCGATGGTGACCCAATGATGGTGCCCTCAGTGTAGGGTGTACTGCTCCAAAGTGGTGCCTGCCCAGCTGATTTAGGGAATACCTGCACACCAAATACAGCACAATCTGCCGGTTCCCAGACGGAGACTGTGAGTTCAGAGCTTTGCAAGCTCCTGGCACCAAATACCAAACAGCTTGGTTGTTCTGGTGTTAGGCAGAGCCAAGGTGATCTGGAGGACATAGCCATCTACAATTCTCCCAGTATATGACACTGTCAGGTCATGGAAGATGGAAGGAATATGACACTTTCTATCTGCTAGTTGCTGGAGTGGGCTGAGGTCCCCAGCAAAATAACGATTGTTCAAAGTGGTCTCAGATGCTATTTTTTTGGTACTGTGCTCCATCTGTCTTCTCATTCTACTCTTTCTTCAATTCTTACCTTTTATTAATATTTGGGGATTATATTTGTTTTCTCATGTCTTTAGTGTGGAGTGCTTGAATTGATGTCTACTCTTCCACCTTACCTGGAAATATCTAAAAACATAATTATAATTATTTGTATCATTTTATTATCTTTCCATTACTACTCATGACTTCTAGAGTGGCAAAACTTAGTAAAATTTTATCTTTTTAGCAGTGATTTCTTAAGTGTTGAATGCTTACCAGATTTGTACAGTTTTTTTTCCATTCTCTTTTTTTGTTTTTAATTGACTCAACTCCTTAACATCACTTATCTATAGTATTGTCAAGAAATAGAATTTTTCAGAGATTTTTAAGATTAAATAAGTTTATTTTATTAATATCACTTTCTTTTCATTTTTCAGCTCCTTAGTGAATTTTTGGATGAAGCCATCAAATTAATGCTTACCATCATGAGCAGAAGCAAACGTGACAGTAATTTTTATAGTGTGGAAATTGGGGATTCTACATTTACTGTCTTGAAACGGTATCAGAATTTAAAACCTATAGGCTCAGGAGCTCAAGGAATTGTATGGTAAGTTTAGCTCTAAAAAGTAAGCAAAGATTCATTAACCGCTATCTTTGTTTTTATATTCTATAAATACATTGGTAGTCATTTACCTTGCCTCTGAAGTTAAATAAACACAATGTAAATAGATTAAAATTCTAACATGGTAAGTTGTTTTGTTACAAAGTAATGGCCTTTGTTGTTGTTGTTATTACTATTATTTATAAAATCTAATTCTAAATCAACACTGCCATCTTTAAGTAGAAATATTGCTTAAATATTTTGTCATAAGCCATATAGAGACAAATATCTATATTAAGAAAAATTAACCTATAAAAATATAAAATACCTGTATTAAGAAGTGGCATGCTTAATCCCATGTATCTATTCCCATTGCTAATTATTTAATGAGAAGATTCACTTAACAGTTTTCACACTGTAATTAATAAACCTCTGGAATTTCAGAAATCCTATTTTATATTGGGGAATAAAGTCAGTAATTCTTAAACTATATACTTTGAAACTAATTTATATACTTTAAAACTGTTTTAAAGTAGATTTAATCTACAGAATACCCGGGTTTTACCAATCAACATCATTGCTTATGAACGGAATGATTTTACATCACTAGATTAGAACAATAAGATAGTGTTTAGGGGGATTCTAGTCCTTTTTCAAGTATAATTATATCTTTATTTCCTCTTCTTGGACTAGATTTGTTTTAGAAGCTATTTAAAAATTGTAAACATTTACAACCCAGCAATTTTCCAAGATGATAGAAAACCTCTTTCATATGTACAGAGACATGTATAGAATTATCGTTTGTAGTACTCTTTGTGAAAGCGAAAATTAGAAATAGTGTCACGTTTCTAAACAGGAAATATAAAAATTTTAAAAATTGCAAAATACTATTAAATATTAAAAATGAATTTTGTTATTATGTACTGTGGAATTGGAACTGACTCATACAGGTTTTTAGAGGTAGTAAATTTCATGGGAGGTGACTACCTATCTTTTTTCCACAGAGCAATAGTAGGTTCAAATGTGTGCTGTTGGATTGACAGTGTAACTCCTTACCACTAAACTACGAGAGGTCCCTAAAATGAACTAGACCTCTATTTTTGTTGTTGTTGGTTGTATTGTAAAGTTGGAACCAACCCATAGCTGACCCTCTTGTGGGTTTTCAGAGGCAGTGATCACACGGGAGGAGATTGCCCATCCTCTTGCAATGCAGCTGGTGGCCTTGAACCATATGCCTTTGGGAATGCAGTGCAGATTCTTGCCACTAGGACACAAGAGTTCCTTGACCTCTGTATGTTGCTATAAGTAATCTTTAAAATTCAGTGTATTGAAAAGAAAGCTTTGAAAAGACATATATTTATATGCCTCTGGAAACTCCATGAACTTTGATAAATGACAATAGTTATAGAAAGGCTTCAGGCGTTTTGATTGTAGGGTCACTATGAGTTGTGCTCGACTTGCTGCAAGTCAATAACAACAGCATATGCAGTTTAAGATAATACTGTGTATTTATAGATTAAATTATCCATAAAAGCAGAACACTGAAAAATATTCTCTTTTCTGTATTGAAAAAATTCTTAAAATTATTTAAATTTAAAAATTTTAGAAACGGAAAACATTTTCTAAACTAATAATTGCCTGATTGTCATTTTAAACAATTGTCAGTAAACAGCTATTGATTGAATTTAAAGAAAATATGATCATTCCTAAGAATTCAGAAAAGCAGTTCTTTGTTCAGATTCTGTCTTTGTGATTTACTAATTTTGTGACTTATGGCACATTAACCACCTCATTTACTGAATTATTGTGAAGATTCTATTACTAAGGAAATATTTAACAGTATTTTAATAGATATTACTATTTCTGTACCTTCACTTATTCTCAGGAAAGACCAGAATTCTTTTTAAAAACCCAACCCATAAATTTTTATGTTCCTAAAACAAAGACAAGATTTGCTTTGGAACAAATCTTATGCTCTCTGACCAACCCCTACCTTAAGGAGGGGTTTTTAAAAAAAAAAAAAATTAGACACATATTAAAATAAAACAAGTGAAATTTATTCTATGACTGAATCAACAGAAATAGTTTTAAAAAATGGATTCTTGACTGCAGTACAACTGGCTCTTGGAAAAATGGATTTTGACTGTACAAAATCTACTTATACATAAAATTTTTAAATGCCATATGCTATTAATCTTGTCCATGTGGACAGTTAGACTATGCAGAAACTTGTATATAAAAGTAAAAAGTGATTTGTCATAGTTCTTTAAAAAAAAATGGATTCTTTTGGAAATCCTTGTATTGACCCTTTGATTCCCCCATTGATTGTGGTTTGTGCACATTTAGGAATCAGGATAAGAAATTTGATTTCTTGCTTACAAAATAATGGAGTCCATTTAGAGACTTTTAATTTTAGAATTTGAATTACTAACTTGTTTTGGCAGATCAAAAATTAATAGGTTGAATTTGAACGTAAAACCTGTTTTATCTGAAGCGTTAGAAAAAATTACCTGTCTACGTAATTCCTAATTTTTTAAAAAAACCATAAATTTATGTAAAGCATATCTGCAAATACTGCATTTTTAACCATTATAATGTATATTTCTGTTGTGTGTACAGGTGCATGTCTTGTGTACAAAATATACATATAGGTATCCATGTATGCAATATGTATTTCTTAGTACATGTATTTCTACGTCCTAATATGGTGAGATAGCTACAAAACAGATTGATGAAAGTTTTTATTTAGTGGAAGAATATTAAGTAGTGCTTGCATTTGAAGTATTGCATAAGCCAAAATTTGTAGTCTTTTTTAGTATGTTACAAATCAAGAATAATTGTCCTAACTAGTCTTCTCGTTTCAGCTTTGATTTTTATTTTCTTGGCTAGCCATATAGAAAATATTCCTAGCTCTATATATCAGAAAGCGATGAATCCAAATGTTTGTGTCTTTCAGTCAGAAAAATCTATCATTTTATTCCACTTGATCTTATTTATGCTTCCATTTCTATTATATGTCATCTGCAATGGTACCCTTTGTTCAGATATAAGGTAAAGATATACAATGAATATGTAATGTTACATAACATAGAATTAGGAGGAGTTTCGTTATCAGTTACAACAGTTTCTGATCCCTAAGATATAGAAATACTGATTTTTTAATTTTTTTAGTGCCTCCTCCAAAACAAGATTTCGTGGGCTTCCTTTTTAAATTATAAAATAATTTTTCAGTGTGGAATCTCTATGTACTTTCCTCTTTCTGTCTTCATTTTGTTGTACATCTCTTGAGAGAATGGAAATAGTGCATCAATGTAGAATTCTTTAGGAAATATTCTGAGTAAAACTCCATATAAGTACTTGTATACTCTTTTCTGCCATGCTTGTGTATATACAAGGTGATGGGTGGGCCTGAATACTCACTCAAACATCTGTAAATTGAATGCCTGCTGTGTATTAAGTAAATTTTAGTGAATTGAACAAATATAGTCCATTGTCTTTTTTAATCCATTAACGTTCTTGCATTAATAAAAAATAATATAGACATAGAAGCATTGTAGACTGGGAAATTAGGAAGTTGATCCTGTTGTTTATTGTGACAGAAACAAGGGATCTGCATGAATGTTTTGAAGATGTTAAAGATTTATGCTTAATATATTTTGGTTGTTACTTCTAAATTTCTAATTACAGTGCAGCTTATGATGCTATTCTTGAAAGAAATGTTGCAATCAAGAAGCTAAGCCGACCATTTCAGAATCAAACTCATGCTAAGCGGGCTTATAGAGAACTAGTTCTTATGAAATGTGTTAATCACAAAAATGTAAGTGAATATTTTAGTTTTCCTAAGTATACCTGAAATCAAGATTTATTTATGACTTTTGAAGACTATTAAGTTTTAGGGGTTTTGAATTGTTCTTCTAGATTAAAACTTTATTTTAAAGGGACATTTATTTACAGCATTAGTTTTTTCTCAGCTTTATTAAATTATATCAGAAGAAAGAGTGACTTCTGAAAGTTAGATTTTATGAGTAATTTTCTAATTAATTTGCAGAAGAAGTATTAGAGAGGTAAGTGCTTTAGTAGGGCTTTATATTCGGGCTTGATCTTTATAGCTTTATGTGTTGCTAGGCTGAAATTTCATAAAACTGGAGCCTTAAATTATAATTTAACACTAGCATTTTCTTATTTCTTTCTTACACTTAGTGATATTGCATATTAAATTCAAATCTTTTTTCCATACCCTCCTGCCTCTTTAGTGGGGATGGTACTCTCTTGTCACTGTATGTTGAGGATAGCCAGTGATCATAAAGCAGTGTAGCAGAAACTTACTGGATATAATTGAAGTGGAATTAGAGAAACATTATTGTGATGTGATTATAACTTTCACTCATTTTAATTCATTTGAATTAAGCTTACTGAGACATTTAATCACTTTAATGGTTTCTCTAAGCTAACAAGAAATAAAAGAAAAGTAAATAGTGCAGGGAATAATTTTTCTAAAATAGTAAATGGAACATAATGTGTTCAAGAGACTCTGTGTCATATAATCGGTGTAGTACTTTTCTGATTACAGATAAAACTTTAGAGACCTAATTATATGAAACCTTCTGAGTCTTTCGTTTTGTCACTATCAAAGGGAAAAAATTTTAGAAGTTAAAGCGACACTCTTTATTTAGAAGCTTACAGTATTATTTTGAAGACAAAATACTAAAGACAATATGGATTGAGGCTCAATATCAAGAAGACAAAGGTTCTCACCACTGGGCTAATTGGCAGCATCAGGATGGATGGTGAACAGATTGAGATTGTACACAGCTTTAGTTTGCTTGGCTCCACAGTCAGCATTCTCAGCACCAGTAGCCAGGAAATTAAAAGACATATTGCGATGGGAAAGTCTACTGTTAGGGACCTCTCCAAAGTACTGAAGAGCAATGGTGTCTCTCTGGAGACTAAGGTGCATCTGATACAGGCCATGGTCCTTGCAATCACTTGTTATGCATCAGAGAGTTGGACAATGACCAAGGAGAATAGAAGGAGAATTGATGCCTTTGAGCTGTGGTGCTGGAGAAGAGTATTGAGGGTACCATGGACTGCTAGGAAAACAGATTCCTCCTGGAAAGGGTCAAACCAGGCTGCTCCTTGGAGGCAAGGATTCTGGGGCTCCATCTAACATACATTGGACATGTTGTAAGGAGAGACCGGTCCTTGGAGAGGGACATCATGCTTGGGAGGGTGGAGGGACAGCGCAGGAGGGGAAGGCCCTCTTTGAGGTGGATTGATTCAGTGACTGGGGCAATTGGGGTGGGTGTATCAGAGATGGTGTGATTGGCACAAGACAAAGCGGAGTTTAGGGCTGTTGTACATAGGGTCGCTGTGAGTCAAAAGTGACTTGACGGCACATAACAACACCACCACCACAGTATTATTTTGAAGTAAAAATACTAAATACCAAATTCCACAAGGCAGTAGATATTTAATTGCCAAATGATGATGGATGGACAATAAATATTAAGATCTCGGCGATTAATGTGAGCATTGAATGAAATGGCAAAGATTTGAAAAAGGGATAAATAAAGATGGAATAAAGATTAGGTTATTGAAGGGTAGGAGCTTCCAGATATGGCAGAATAGCATCAAGGATCCAGAGATAGAAATTGCTTTGGTGGACTGTGGAAGTTAGTCAGGAAGTGACTCCTTCATTGAAGGAAGAAGTTATAGCAACCATTCTTATTCCAAGTAGGAGACAGGCACATTGCTCCTCAAATTTTGTTGGTGGCCTTATGACCCTTGGATAGAATTGCTTGTGCCCGATGTGCCCTATGGACCTGGTTGGTGGGAGTTGTAGTGGCAGCATCTGCTTAGTTTTCCTTGATGAAAAGTACACTGAATCTTGTCTCTAGACCCTGAGTGATAGAATCATTAAATGGAAGGTATGAAAGCATGTGTCACAACCTATTGCTGTCTCATCAGCAACTACAACGGTGCTGGCACAGAGTAGATAGAATGAATGCAAAATTAAATTTAGGGAAACCAGGAATGGTAAGTAATTTTTTTTTCCTGCTTCATGGTGGTAGTTTTTAAAACTTTTTACTTTATAAGCAGTTTCATATTTTGCACATATCTGTTCATTGCCTTAATGTTTCTGGATTTACTAAATTTCTCTTTCCATGTATAGTTTCAATTTTGTGTGGGTCTTGAGTTGGGGAAATTAAGGGTAGTGTAGCTAAGGTACTATAGTGTTGAGTGCCTGCCTGATCACAAAAAGGGGTTAGCAGCTTAAATCCACAAACCAGTTTGCTTCTGTGAAGATTACAGTTTTGGAAATTCTTTGAAGCACTTCTGTTCTGTCCTGTAAGGCCACTGTGAGCTTGAATCTCCATGCATTGGGAGTGGATTTGTTTTTTAAACTTTGTTCTGACTGTTCATTTGTTGCCTTCACTTCCCAGTTTTTCTCAGGATGCCTTCATGTTAGGTAAAACTAAAAGGTAATTTGGAACTTTTGAGTACACTGAAAAAAACACCAAACACATATAGGTTTCTTAACTATAAAAATTATCCACCTCTTCCCAGTTCTTTATCTTACCCAGAATTTTTACCAAAAGCATTTTCAAAAGAGCTTTTAGGTATCTTAAAATCTTTGTTTGATGTATCTGTTGCATTTATTTGAACTACTATTATTTCTAGGTGGTTGTTCTTTTGGATTTTTTAATAGAAGGAAATGAAATTTCTCAATTAATTTATCTCTATTCTTGAAAATGAATTCAAAGTAATTATAGAACAATCATATCTTGATTTTGCTTTACTTTTCACTCAGTAGTTGATATAATTTATTTCCTCTCTCAGAAAGTGAGAACTGCACCACTACAGTAGGAGACTTCAATACACCACTGTTAAGGAAAGACAAGACTACCAGAAAGAAACGTGGCAAAGATGCTGAAGAATTAAACCACACAATCAACCAACTTCATCTTGTAGATACAGGCTGACACATCCTAAAAAAGATTAATATACATTCTTCTCCAACATGCATGGAATATTCTCCAGAATAGATTATAGTTTACAAAGCAAGCCTCAGTAAATTAAAAAAAAAATATAGAAATAAAATTTTAAAAAAGCCCCATAGAAATAATAAAAACCTTTCCTCAAAATACAGTGCTACACAATTAAAGATCAACACAATGACACAGGAGGAAAAAAACCCGTATACACCTAGAAACTAAATAACGCCATGCTTGAATATGAATGGGTAATAGAAGAAATTTTTAAAGTACTAAGTTTCTTGAAACGAATAAGAATGAAAACACAACTTACAAAAACTTCTATGATTTAGCAAAAGCAGTACTTAGAGGTCAATTCATAGCACTAAGCAAACACAATCAAAAAAGGAGGAAAAAAAGATAATCTGTTATTTAAACTATCATCTCCAACAAATAAAAAAACAAAACAAAACACCAGAACAAAAAACCCACCAGCAAAAAAAACAACCCAATCTCTGAAAGAAAGGAAATTATAAAAATTAGGGCAGAAATAAATGGAGTAGAAAACCTAAAAAACAGTTGAAACTATCAACAAGACCAGAATCTGAGTCTTCAAAAAGGTCAATAAAATTGACAGATCACTAGTAAAGCTAACAAAGGAAAAGAAAGAAAAGAAACAGATAATTTGAAAAGGGACAAAAGGGATGCACAAAATCAACTGAAATAAAAGATTAACAATAGAATTTATGAAAAACTATTAAGGAGCTGAACAGAAGATTTCAAAGGACATTTTGCAATGAAATGTGCAAAGAGCTGGAGTCAGAAAATAAAGGGACCAAACTCGCTCAGCATTTCTTAAGTTCATGGAATTGAAGAGCAAATTCAAGACTTGAGTTTGAATACTTAATGATGCTTTGGGCAGAATATTAAATTATCAAGGAAATATTAAAAGAAGATGGAGACAATATACAGAATCATTGTACCAAAAGAAATTGGTGCACACAGAAGAATTTCATGAACAATGTAAAACCAAGAACCTGTGATGATGAAGGAACAAGTTCAAGCTGCTCTGAAAGAATTGACAAAAACAAGGCCCCAGAAATTGATGGTATACCAATTGATATATTTCAGCAAACAGATGCTGCCCTAGATGTGCTCACCAAGTTGTGCCAATAAATCTGGAGGACAACCACTTGGCCAATTAATTGGAAGAGATCTATATTTGTTCCCATTCTGAAGAAAGGAGATCCAACAGAGTGTGAAAATTATCAAACAATATAATTAATATCACATGCAAGCAAGATTCTGCTGAAGATTATCCAAAAAGGACTAGAACAGCACATCAGCAGAGAACTGCTAGAAGTGTAGGCTGGGCTTAGAAGGGGCCCTGGTACTACAGATATTGTAGCTAATGTTAGAGGGATCTTGGCTGAAAGCAGGGAGTACCAGAGGAATGTCTGTGTTTCATTGACTGTGCAAAGGGGTTTGACTATGTGGACCACAACAAGCTGTGGCTAACTCTGAGAAGAATTATAATCCCAAAACACTTGATCATGCTTATGTGAATATGACCAAAAGGCAATTGTCAGAACAGAGCAAGGAAATACTGTATGGTTCATAATTGGGAAGGGTGTATGCCAGGGATGTGTCCTGTCTCCATACCTTTTCAACCTGTATGCAGAACAGATTATCCGGGAGGCTAGGCTCTGTGAGGAGAAATGCGGCATCAGGATTGGTGGAAGATCTGTCAACAATCTACGTTATGTAGATGACACGACCCTGCTTGCTGAAACTGAGGAATACCTGAAGCGCTTGCTGCAGAGGGTCAAGGACTGCAGCCTCC